TTCATCTTTGGTAGCGAGTAATAAAATATATAATAAGATGTTAGACCTGGCTTCAGTAACAGAAATATACAACTTACATACGAATAAACACAAGCATAATAAAGAAGTAGGGCCCTATATTTTCTGTGATTCGGAAAATGCGCACAGAATCGCCTCATTGACCAAACAAAATGAAATCCAGTGTAAAACTCGGAATCTCACGGAATTTGCTTATTTGGGCGAGTTTCTGCAAGTAGGGGTCTCTGCAGAACGTGTTGTCCTGTAGGCGGAGACGGCCCAAATCGTCATTGGCCGAGGTCTTAATGTGGGCGGAGACGGCCCAAATCGTCATTGGCCGAGGTCTTAATGTGGGCGGAGACGGCCCAAATCGTCATTGGCCGAGGTCTTAATGTGGGCGGAGACGGCCCAAATCGTCATTGGCCGAGGTCTTAATGTGGGCGGAGACGGCCCAAATCGTCATTGGCCGAGGTCTTAATGTGGGCGGAGATGGCCCGAGACGTGATTGGTCAGATTGATGGTGGGGGTTTGAGGCTGGAGGCAGCGGGGAGTAGCTTGATCGAGTTAGGCAGGAAGTATGGGTTTTTTTAGAATAATTTTAGTCATAACTTGAGAAAGGAAAATGCTATCTGCACGAAATTTGAACGTCGTACATGTGAAAGTATGTGTAACAATATGGCTTTGTTAAAACACTCCTAACCAGCCTGTAAAAAATATTGATTTTTAGCGATCTTTTTACAGGCTGCTTAGGGATGTTTTAACTAAGCCATATTGTTACACATCCTTTCACGTGTAAGACGTTCAAATTTCGTGCAGCTAGCACTTTCCTTTCTCAAGTTATGACTAAAATCAATCTTAAAAAACAACATACTTCCTGCCCGACTTGATCAAGCTACTCCCGGCTGCCTCCAGCCTCCTCAAACCCCACCGTCAATCCGACCAATCATGTCTCAAGCCATCTCCGCCCACATCAAGACCTCCGCCAATCATGAGCAAGGACATCTCCGCCCACGGGAAAAGATCTACTGCAGAGACCCCTTACTCAGTTTCTGAAACATTTTGGTCGCTGCCAGTACCTGGTACCAGGTACGCGAGGTGAGCTCTGAGCTCCCCTCCCAACACAGGAGAAAAAAAAAGCTGCAACCCGCGCAACGAACAAACTCACTAAACAGCAACGTCGCAAATTACGAAGCTTGGGGTAAAGCTTTGGACAGAACAATACCTGAGTGGTTCTTTATTTATCTGTAGAAGAACTTTTCTGCATGTTTTGTCAGCACTTGATGGGCTGGACACTAGGGTTGGGAAATATTGGCAAAAAAAATTAATCACGATTAATTTTGGTATGTAGCCGATAACGATTAATAAGACAATTAATCCCCTGGATTCCCTTATATCTTAGTCACATGACCAATAAATCACTCTAGTGGGAAAGATTTTCTAATTGTAAAAATCAGTTCCAAATTGTGTCAAAAGTACAAACTTCAGGCGATACATCAATTTTAAAATGGTGTTGATAAACTAAGTAAAACTGGAGTTATGGTAAATAAATTACAGAACTTTTTTTAAAAAAATGTTTGTGAAATTTGAAGTAGAGAGGAGCATCGAGCGGACTCACGGGGGAAATCTCCAGTCAGTCTGCCTGGCAGCATTAACTGTATGTTAATCGTCAAATGCAAAAAAAAAATCAATTAAAGTTTTTCTGACGATTAATTGCACACGATATAATTTGTCCAACCCTACTGGACGCTGTGAAGGACTGCTTCCTCTCTGAGCCATATCACAGAGGAGCAGGAGCTGAGAGACACGCTGCAAACTCCTCAACACTCAGAAGTGAAGTGGGAGACCGAGTGGGAGTTTAGTCAAGATTTTCATGTCCTGTGTGCAGAATCCGATATTCCTTTAGAAAAAAAATGAAAAAGTTTTGTCTATTTTTGATAAAGCACTGTAAAAAGTGTGCATGTGTGTCTCTTCCATTACAGAAGTAGCTTAGATCCTATTCAGTTGTGTGCATAAATTGTTGCCGTTTGCAGGTTTTATGTTTCTCCATGACATATTTAATGTTAAATTCTAAACCATTTTTATTTTACAAAAGAAAACGCTGATATGAGATTCTGTTTTACACATAACTATAATCCCCTATTTTGTCTAAAATGGCTTCACTTCATTAAGGTTTATGTTTCTTTTTGAAAATTCTAAAAGGACAAAGGGCCAACATATTGATATAACCTGCAGAAAAGTGTAAAGACAGTGGGGAAAAGAGCTGGTTAAAAAACTTGTAAACTTTACATCGTCATACTCTCATCTGAACATTCTGTGGCCAGATGTAACTTTGAACATATTGTGTGAAAACTGTTAACGTTGTCAAAATTCCCATTCAGTCAAGTCAACATTAAAAGGCTGTATAAAAACTATTGACACTTTTAACGTTACAATAATATTAGCTACACTGATATAACTAATAACCATGTGCAGAAACATTAAAGCATCCTTAATAATGTTCCACTTATTGTTTTGTCCTGAAACTCATTGTGTAGCTTTACAACAAAACATGCTAATTTGATAGCAAACCCATAATTATTCACAATGGAACACAGCAACATGTCAACTACTAGAAATAAGAAATTACACCCTTTTTATGCACTAGTTTGGTATTTTCAAATTTGATGACAGCAACCAATACAGATATTCTTAAAAATGACCAACATCGACTGATGATAATACGGATATTGTGCATCCCAAAATAAAGTGCTACGGCTGCAAGTGCTGATTCTATCGATTCTTACAGCGCGCTTTCACACGAGTCCAGACTTGCCTGCAGTCCAAACGTCGGACCAACTAAAAACGTTTGGTGCAGCATAAAATAAAAGTCCTGCTGAACAACTAGAATCCTCCATCAGAAAAGAATGAGACAACACAGGGGTAGACATAAGGCTATTTTTCAGGTTGTCCAGCGGACAACCCCTGGTTGTCCGCAAAACCTTTTGGTTGTCCAAAAGAATCTCAAGAGAAATGTCATTTAACAAGTATATTGTTCTGTAGGCAAAGTTCATTATATATAATTGTTCTCAGTCGGCCAGGTTGACCGGAACTGTTTAAATAAAACTTCTCATTCTCTTCTTTGAAATAGAGTATTTAAGGCTCAGGGAGTAAAGCAGCAAAAATGTTGCAAATAAAATCTAGAGGTTACCCAACATTCATAAACTTCTTTCTGCTCATAGGTCAAACATTTTCACTTAAATAGGAGTATACTGTGTACAGTATACACGAGCCCATTCTCACTCCCAAGTCGTCACATATTGACGCTTTTGCAAAGCTTCCCTCAACGTCAGATTTTGACGCGCCGGGTACCCCCGTCACGTCAGTTCCTGACGAGATGGGGCGAAGTCTGTTGTCATGTTTTCCGAAAGTGTAGAAAATGCGCAAAAACTGGCGTTTCGAAGCCTGAAATTACCTTTGTTAACTTTAGACATGCTGTCCCTGACCGTAGTACCTAAAATTAACCATTTTTAGAAAATGTATAAAATTGACGTAAACATGTTCCAAAGTCTGGAATTACCTAATATTCACCATGGACA